GGGAGCCGCCACCTGCGCGCCGGGCGCGGGCTGCGGGGCCAGCGGCGGCCAGGAGCCGGGCGGGCAGCGGAGGATGCCGGAGACCGGGCAGGAGCCACCCAGCGCCCCTCCGCCGCCCCCCAAGGAGTCCTTCTACATCAAGAACCTGCTCAACGGCGGCCCCCCCAAGGCGCCCCCCAAGCAGCCGCGGGCGCTGTTCGCCCCCTCGGGCAAGGCGGCGGTGGACGGCGCCGGCTTCGCCCTCTCGCAGGTGGGCGACCTCGCCTTCCCCCGCTTCGAGATCCCGGCGCCGCGCTTCGCCCTGAGCGCCCACTGCCTGGAGCGCGCCCAGACCTGGTGGTACCCGTACGCGCTGACGCCGGCCGGAGCCCACCTGCCCCGCACGGAAGGTACCGCTCCCCGAAACTTTCATCCTTCCCTTCCTCCTTGTCCGGCGGGGCGGCGGCCGTGGGGACCGGGGACGGCTGGGCGGGGGGCGAAGCTGGCGCTGGGGCCACTCGAGGGTCCGGTCGGCTCGTCCCGTTCCCCCTGACGGGACGCGGGGCCTGGGTGGTGAAGGTGTCTCTTTGTGTCCCTTATCACCCCCCTTCATGCCCCGCTTCATCCTTCCCATCCAGCCGCAGAAAAGTCGCTGCTGAGGGACTCGTCCCCCGCCTCGGGCACCGACCGGGACTCCCCGGAGCCGCTGCTGAAGGCGGAGGGGGAGCAGAAGGAGCTGGACTCCAAGAGCCCCGACGAGATCGTGCTGGAGGAGAGCGACTCGGAGGAGGCGAAGAAAGAGGGAGGCGCGGAGGACTGGAAGAAGCGGGAGGAGAGCCCGGAGAAGAAGCCGTGCCGCAAGAAGAAGACGCGCACGGTGTTCAGCCGCTCGCAGGTCTTCCAGCTGGAATCCACCTTCGACATGAAGCGCTACCTGAGCAGCTCGGAGCGGGCCGGCCTGGCCGCCTCGCTGCACCTGACAGAGACCCAGGTGAAGATTTGGTTCCAGAACCGCCGCAACAAGTGGAAGCGGCAGCTGGCGGCCGAGCTGGAGGCGGCCAACCTGAGCCACGCCGCCGCGCAGCGCATCGTCCGCGTCCCCATCCTCTACCACGAGAACTCGGGCGCGGAGGGGGGCGCGGGGGGCGGCGGAGCCCCCGGCACGCAGCCCCTGCTCACCTTCCCTCACCCCGTCTACTATTCCCACCCCGTGGTCACCTCCGTGCCGCTCCTGCGGCCCGTCTGAGCCCGGCCGCCGCTGCGCGGAGGGGCGCGGAGAGGCGCGCAAGGCACCCGCCCGCTTGTAAGTACTGCAGCCCTTCGTGCGAGTCACCCGGCCGGCGTCTGCGGAGCGCGGGGGGACTGCGGGGACACGGGTGCGGGGCTGGGGGGACCCCTCGGCGGGTGGTGGTAGGAGGAAAGTCACGAAAAATTTCGGAAAAAAAAAAAAAAAAAAAATGGGGGGGAGAGGGCAACGAAAATGAGGAAAATGAAAGCGGGAACTTGTAGAGAACCCTGGAGCTGTCACACCTTTTGTAAACGTGGATGAAAACCGCGATGGTCTCTGTGGCTTTAGTTTTATTTTTGTAAAAAAAAAAAATTAAAAAAAAAGAAAAAAGAAAAAAAAAAGGAAAAAAGGGGCAAAAAAGGGATAATAATAAAAAAAAAAACAACGAATGGTCCCAGGCCACTCCTCGAGATTTGGCAAACGCTAATGGGAAGCTGAATTTCTGTTCCTTTCGGACCTCTCCTTCTGCCTCCAAATAATYGTTCAGGCTCCTGATCCTGTCGTGACTCAAACTTCATCGACCACGGCTTTTCGTTTAAGCAGACCTTTGACTCTTTGCTTGCCCACGTTTTGTACCTTTTGGGTTCTGTCATGAGACTTTTACGAGCAAGAAATACAGCCTCAAAGTGAACGGTTAAATACACCCTCACGCTTTGAGTGACCCTTATTTATTATCGTTTACTTAGATATTTTTAATTCTTGTTTATAATTCTTGTTTTCCTAGTCGTCGGGTTGTTTGGGGTTTTTTTTCCTTGTAAAGTTATTTCGGTATTTGGGGGGGGTAAAAAAAAAATCTGTACCCTTTTGCTTTCTTTTGTAATACTAATTATTATTATAATTATTATTAATAATATTATTGTACTTTTGAACTGTGCAATATTGTACGACGATTCTTAAAGCACTGCTTTTATTTGAATGGTGAGGAAAGGGTTTTTAGCATTGTAAAATTGCGTTTCTTCATGTTGTACAAAATAAAATAAAAAAGAATTAAAATAGAAGGAAAGTGAGAAGAGAGGAGCAGGGCATGGGAATTAAGATCAGCCCAGCTTATGCGAATAAATAAGGGAGATTCRGTGAGCTGGGCGCTTTAAGTGAAGGACAATCAACTTTAGGGTAATTTTAATTTATTTGATATGATGTACAGTTTTCTTCTAAAGTCCATTGAGTATGTGGATTTTAATAGGCAGAAATCAAGTGAGGAGTGGACACCTCTAGTCTCTCTCTGTCTTAGTGTCTGCTCACCTGTTGTCTGACAATTGTTTGCTGTCTTCCCGAGGGTTTGGGTTGGTTGGTTTCTTTTCTTTGTTTCATTTCAAATTTTGTTTTCCCCTTTCTGTTGTACTCTCTGCCCTCTCGCTTTCTGTTAGGGATCGGTCCTATTTTTAAAACAGCCTATATTGTTATAAACTTAATGTTGTGGTGGAAAAAAAAAATCAATAAAACCCGTTCCTTATCATTTTTTTAAGTGTGGTTTCGGGCGGAAAAAAAAAAGATAAATAAACAACAACAACAAAATTAAAGAAGTAGAAACAACAAAACAAATAACCCAAGGGCTGTCTGTGAGCTCGGCCGGGGCTGCGGGCCGGGGCACGGAGCCGATCCCGCCAGGAGCTCCTTGGAGCGGGTATTGTCTGCCGGGAAGGGGATGGGGAGCGGGGAGAATTTTTCCCAGCTCCGGGCAGGGTCACGGCGGCCGGGTCACCCCGAGGAGGGGTCGCAGCTCCCGGGGAGCCTCCCGGGAACGCGCGGGGGTGGCGGGGAGGGGGGGTCCCTTCCCACCGGAGCGCCGCCTCCCCTTCCCGAGGGCTTCCCCTGAACTTCTGGCCGCCCCTTCCTCCGCGCCCCCCCGGTGCTGCCCTGCCCTTCCCTCGGCCCCCCTCCTCCGGGGGCTGCCGCAGGGTGTCCAACCCACCCCGGGCTGCGCCCTCTGCCCACGGCCGGAGCCGTCACGCGTGTGAATACCCCCGGCAGGGTTATTCGGAGATAGGATCGCTCTCCGCTTCCCGCAGATTGGCCCGAATCGACGTGTTGATAGCGCCGAGGGCAGGATTTGGGGCCAAAGAAATCAAAATAAAACTCAGCGTTGCGAAAAGATAATCCCGCGTTTTCTTTTCGTTTGGGATAAAAACCCTGGCAATGGGTCGTAAATGAAAAATAAACAGAGTTTTGGGGTCAAAATACGGTGCTGGCTGTGTYGCCTACAAACAGAGCGATGCCTTTGCTGTTTGCAGTACCAACTTTGGGACAAGTCGCTTGCAGCCCATTAAAAATATTGTTGTCATAGTAAATASATCTTTCCATTTTACAGCGCGGCAGCACGATGTTATCAAACGGCAAGGAAAAAAAGCTCATTTATTTCTGGTCAGCGCTCAGAAAACGATTSTGGACCCTCCTGGGCCTTCCCCAGCAGAGGAAGGAGCCGACGGACACCAGCGCTGCTCCCGCTCCGCAGCGCGGCCTTTGCGCGGGTGCGGGAAGCGAGCAGCGGCTCATCAGGGGCATTTCCCAGGGGAACGATGATCTTGGTGGGGCTGATGGGGGTCGGCAGGATTTTTTTTTTTTAATTAAGAAAAGGGGGAAAAAAAGTAACCAAGCAATCTCACCAGTTTTTTTGTTTTTTTGTTTTTTTTTTTTTTGCTTCCCGCTGATCCCTTGCACACTGCGGGATCGAGAGCAGGGAGATGCTGTGAAACCTTGCGGTRAAGTTGGGCCGTGGGCCGAGGGTCTGTGAGCCCGGTTCGCTGCCCCCCGAGTCTCCCCTCTCCCGCAGCCGGAGTTTTTCCACAGCCCATCCGGGAGGGATCGCTCGGAGCGGGATGCTCCTTTCTCTCCGCACCCGCTGCAAGCCGAGCCTGGCGCTCAGGCTTTTCTCAAGCCTTTAAGAAGTGTCCCCAAACYCCATCCTATCCCTCAACGCTCCGGCGAAACGGGAAGCGAAGGGTTTAGTTTCTCCCCTCGAGGGAGATGSCACCGAGCGAGGGCTCCGCCAGCCCCGGCTCTCCGCGCTGCGCTGCGCCGCTCCCGGGAGGGGAGAGCCGGCCTGGAGCGGGGCAGGAGAGGGACAGGCTGCCAAGGGACCCCCCACTCCCTCCTCCCTGCTAAAAGTTTCTGGCAATCCCGCATCACTCTGGGATGGAGTGAAAGCAATCGCTCTGAGCGGTGAAAAAAAAAAAAATCTTTACAGAAATAAAAACTATCGAGGAGATGGGTGCGATTTAAAGAAAGTTACTTCGATCCTCTCGGCTGTTGGCAACGCCGCGACCACTTGTGTTTACTGCTGCAAGCCCGCTCGGTAAATCTCTGCCTTTGTTWGTAATTCAGGAGATAACACGATTCTTCTCGGCCACTGTTTTGAGCTKGGCTGAACTGAACTAGCTCTCCTGTTTGTGGTCGAAACAAACATGTATTTCTTTTATTTGGTAGTAAATAGGGGYTYGCTGTGTATAGCAAACAGCGGGGGRAAAGATATAAAKTTCCCGGCCACCAGATTTGGGGATYCAGAAGAGTTTTGGCTCCCGGAGGGCTGGAGTAGGGAAMGGGGAGCGCGGAGCCGTTCGGCCCTTCCAGCAGCCGCACGCTCCCGGCGACCCACGTTGGGAGGTTGGTATTTTTTATCCTAATTATCATTGATAATTTTAATTTTTTTTTATCCGAATATTTGCAAATTTTCTGGTACAGGTCAGTGGGAAATGTTCTGTTCTGCTGTCAGTGCCTCCGACGTGCAGAACGCGGGGCAGAGCTGGGGACACACGGAGCTGCTCCGAGGGAATAATCTCGCTTTAAAACAGTGATGGAAACCCCTATGGTTTTTGGGTTTCTTTTTTTTCTTTTTCTTTCTTTCTTTTTTTTCCCCCCCCAAATATGCTGCAAGTGTCTCTGTAATAATCACTTTAC